ACTTATTTAAATTAATATTTTTTGGCTTAGCTTTTTATTAATTATTTGTTAAAATAAAAATACTTCATAATAATAATAATTAATAATTGATTAAAAACAAACGCCTTCATTTTCTCAAATCAAAATTATTTTTAATAACCATTGCTTATTTATATACAGCACTTCTATTAAGTCGCCGCGTGTGTCTAGAAACTGTGAATGCGAAATGCCGAGCTGTTTTTTTCACCACGAACGCACGCTCATTTTTTTTTTTTTTTGCAGATTTTTATAAAATTAATAACTCATCAATTATTGCAAAATTCGCAAAGTGGTGAAGATTGTGATGAAATCTTTCCGATTGTATCTGCTCGCGAGAAATGATACGGATATTATCGGACACCTTGTACATTCGGATAAAGGTTTGTGTACGTAAGAAACAGGAGGAACGATGAATTACGTCTTACCCTATTTATCGACAATAAATCTGTATTATATAATTTATTGAGACTCAAATCGTGTATGTGTATCTGAAGTTATTGTTTTCCTCACTTACAGTTATATATTGAATTATCAGAAGCGAAAGGTGCAATGAATTTTCTGTCGTGCACTTATCAAAATAAAATATTGGCATATCGCCACCGGCATTTGATCGTTTTTTTTTTTTTTATATATAGTTAAAATATGTGAAAGTTTTTTATCAATATGTGTCATGAGTTTTTCTTTCGTTGAAAAGATCGACATCACTTCTGTGAATATTGTTGGGTGTGTTTGTCCCAACTCTGTGCCATTATAATTTACTTGGTTGGTCAAAATTATTTTTCTTAAATTGTGTATACGTTTACTACCACAGAGACCACTATACAGAAGAAAACCTCGGGATATTTTATTATTTTGATTACAGACTGGCGAAATAAATATATTCTATTAGATGTCAAATCTCTCGGTGACCAAAATTCGTATAAATTTTTCTAACTTTCTACCAGGGACGATTGATAAGTATTCGAAACAACGCGTAGATAGCAACAATAGTATCACATTGTTGTTGACAAGTTTCCTTCGGAAGAATAAATGTTAAACACCGGCTCATTGTTGCACGTAATGTTTGTGTAACAAGCTCGCCAGAGAGTAAATACTCTCAGTGATTTTGTTTGTAAATATGAAAAGGTTTTCGTGTCGTTATCAAATTCTGTTTTGAGAAAAACTGGTTTATACGCCAGATCAAAGACAAAGTTGAATCTTGATGAAACTTGGATTCGCCATTACACATCTGAAATCAAGGAACGGTCGCAATAGCGAACAGTAAGCGGTCAACCAGCATCGAAGAAGACAAAGACGATATTATAGCTGACAAAGTGATGGCGACTGTATTTTTTTTAGGACGCGCGTGGAATACTTTTCGATGATCACCTTGTAAAAGGAAAAACCATTATCGACAAGTAAAGAAGAAGAAGTTAAACACCCGCATTTGACCAAGAAAAAACTTTTTTTTTTTTATTTTTCATCAAGACGATGCACCAGCTCTCACATTTCAACTGTTGTAACGGCCAAAATTTACGAGTTGTGTGCTTCGAATCGCCGCCTCATCCGCCTTATTCACTACATATAGTCCCCGTGTGCGGGTCTTTCCATTTACTTCCGAATCTGTGAAAAAATAGCTCGGTGGAAAGAAACTTTTGAGCAACAATGGAAGTCATCGAATCCACAAATGGCTACTTTGAAGAGCTCAAGAAAACGTTTTATCAAAGTGATATAAATTGAGAAGCGCTGGTCAAAGTTCTCATCAGGATGAAAAAGTGATTATTATATTATTAAAAAAAAAAATAAATCCATTTCGAACTGATAAATTCTTGTTTATCTTTTCGTTTCGGATACTTATCAATCGCCTCTCGTAATTAACTGCATAACTGCAGTAAAAAGACCTCAAATTGGAGAGTCAACTAAGATCGTCGCTGAGATCTAAGACAATTTTACGTGTATTGTGTTATATACATATATGTATATACATGTCTGTGTATATATATACACAGACATGTATATATATATTTTTATATATATAAACAGACATGTATATATATATTTTTATATATATACACAGACATGTATATACATATATGTATATAACACAATACACGTAAAATATACACAGACATACATTCTATATTTGTATGTGTGCATACATATATTATGTGACTATATGTATATATACGCACAATAGATATGCTTGAACAGTATCCTATAATAATAATTTGACTCTTAGTTTATTAGACTTAACATGTTTGTATAATGACGCGAAGAGATAGAAAAACATTGTATTTATATCTTCACAATATTAATAATAAAATAACAATAAATTAAAGTATCTATAATATCCCTACAGTATCTATAATTGCTTATTTCAGTACGAAATAACGAGGAATCAATTCGAACAGCGTAGCATAACGTGTAAACACACGTTTAACATTAACAAACAGTACAAATGAAATTTTTGCAAACTCTAAAAACTCTGCGTTAATTCTTATCAAGTGTTGTTCTATCGCTTCCACAATAATAAAATAAATAAACTTATTTACTTACCAAGTTGCGGCACCGACATGTACGTTTCGCAATCGACCAGAAACTGTCCGGTCTGCACCGCTCCGAGTGCGACGACTCTTTTCGTGAGAAACTCGATCGTTTGCGGCCCCGTGCGATTCTCTATCATCGGAAACTGCTGCAACCTGTTTATATCACACAAATTAAGTATTATTTTCGTAAAAAATATTAAAATCGCGACATTCGAAACAACCGGCACAAATCAACCGCGTGACATAACCTCCTCCGTCCACGCGTGTGACGAAGAGATGCCGAAAAGAAAAATTGTCACTTTATCGATAAAAAATCGAGCGACAACTTGTCGATGAATGAAACAAGAACATTTTTTACAATTTATATCACGTACAAAAGAAATACTTACACGGTGACACCCATTATACACGCAGCGTTGACAAATATAGCGGGTATTGGTGAGTACAGCCGAGCAATAAATTTGTCAGAGAACTGGAGAGCGCTTTGATCTCTGTTTTTAAATTGTGTGTTAAATTCTTCTTATCCCCTCTTTTTTTTTTTTTTTTTTCTCTTTTGCTATATTCTGGAATTCTTATGTGTGTATGTGCACGTGGCTCAATTTTTGACAATTTTTAATATACACTAAAAAAAAATTCAAACCGCCGCACATCCAAACGAGAGTAGTGAGGATGGCGCGCGAAAAGACCATTGGTCGATATAACAAGACGCGGACAATATTTCGAACGAGTCAATGGGTGCGTTCAGACAACTCAACGGTTGAAAGATAATCACTTCTGATTGGATCATACTTTTGGAACCGCAGCAGATTTTGAAGAATAGTCCTATCATAAGTGATGATCTCTCAACCGTTGAGTTGTCTGAACGCACCCAATATCATCTACGTGACGTCACATGTGGTCATTTCAGCAATAGCTAAACGCGGCCTCTTAGATGATATTGGGTGCGTTCAGACAACTCAACGGTTGAGAGATCATCACTTATAATAGGACTATTCTTCAAAATCTGACGCGGTTCCAAAAGTATGATCCAATCAGAAGTGATTATCTCTCCGACCGTTGTGCAACTGTTGAGTTGTCTGAACGCACTCATTATCTTATCTTCAGGGCGATGTCCCATTGAGCGGAAATATATAGCGGAACGGAATGTGCGGAATCAACTCGACCAATCATAGCCATTCCGTTTTCTTTCCTTCGCTTTTTCTGTGGTTACGATTGGTCGAGCTGGTTCCGCACATTCCGTTCCGCTATAGATTTCCGCTCAATGGGACGTCGGCCTCAAGGCAGTTATCTGAAGCCGTTTATAAACGCGCCTTTGCTTTGCCCACATGTGACGTCATGTAGATGATATTATCTTTGCTTCAAGATAGTTGTCTGAGCCGTGTCTATAAGTATATATGGTCTAAGGGCGATGTCCCATTGAGCGGAAATATATAGCGGAACGGAATGTGCGGAACCAGCTCGACCAATCGTAACCATAGAAAAAGCGAAGGAAAGAAAACGGAATGGCTATGATTGGTCGAGCTGGTTCCGCACATTCCGTTCCGCTATATATTTCCGCTCAATGGGACATCGCCCTAAGGCTAAAACCAACGGTTGAAACCGTCGTAAAGCTTNTTGCACAATGGACGGAATAGCAATAGCGATAGAAATAACAAAAGTTTCAAAGAGTTTATATTTAAAAATAAAGGTAGGAACAGCGGAATCTAACATACAAAAATACACATGTATCAATGCAGATCAGAAAATCGGAATAAGTAATAGCGATAAAATTTCCGACGAGTTGAAATTCTGTGTTAAAAACTGTGTTATTTCTATCGCTATCGCTATTCCTTCCATTGTGCAAGGGGCTTAAGAAACTACAATGGCCGCTCTCAGGCTTCTCTCTGGTCTAGTTTCCGCCGAAACCCTCAATTCGGTTTCACTCCGGTACTGATCAAATTTAGTGCTCTGTTTCCATTGGAAGTAGAGTACTTATAGATCGAAGCGGAAGTGAAATCAGCACAATTTGACAGGTTTCCATCGACTTGAATTTGATTCTACGTCGCATTTGGTGTGAATTAATGCTTCGGTGGAAACTAGACCTCTCTGGTACGCTTGGGCATTTCTCTTTCTCGCGTTCTTTCCAATGCTTTGTCTCGCTCGCACTCGCTTAGTAGACGCGCCTGCGCATAATGACGCTCGACTATCTATGCCCATATTTGGACTTCGTGCGTCTCTCTTTCTCGGGCCTCGTGCCTCTCATTGCGAAGATACGCGACTAGCAATATAGAAGTATTAAAGCCCCTTGCACAATGGAAGGAATAGCGATAGCGATAGAAATAACAAAAGTTTTAAAGAGTTTATATTTAAAAATAAAAGTAGGAACAGCGGAATCTAACATACAAAACTACACATGTATCAATGCAGATCAGAAAATCGGAATAAGCAATAGCGATATGGCTTAAAGCCCCTTGCACAATGGAAGGAATAGCGATAGCGATAGAAATAACACAGTTTTTAACACAGAGAATTCCAACTCGTCGGAAATTTTATCGCTATTGCTTATTCCGATTTTCTGATCTGCATTGATACATGTGTAGTTTTGTATGTTAGATTCCGCTGTTCCTACCTTTATTTTTAAATACAAACTCTTTAAAACTTTTGTTATTTCTATCGCTATCGCTATTCCGCCCATTGTGCAAGAGGCTTTATATATATATGACATAAGTACATAAAAGTTTCTATAGAAACAAGTGTACAACAATGACCTAATCAAAGTTTAGCATGTTTTATTTGTATCTAGTTTGTATTGTTTTTCAATATACAAAGAATATTTGTGCGTTTATTCATGAGTATTATTATAAGTTCTTATTATTACAATATTAATATAAAGCATAAATAAATTTTATAGAAATTTTACACTAATAACATATATATAACAAATACTTTCTCATGTTATGGTGGAATAAACTAACTAATACTTAATAACTTTATATCTGAACTAATACACTTGATGTAACTTATATATAAGATAAAAAATTAGTTCAAAAGTTTATGTGATTCTTATAGAGTCATCAGTGAAAAAAGAAAAAAGTCTGTAATTATGCACGGATTAAGGTAAAATAATTTTATAGACAACAGATGCTCACAATTCTCGAACAAATATATTTTATAGATAAGAGATCAAATAAAACTGTTATTGTTTGTTTAATAATTTATATTTTTTGTTATTACGTATATAGTGTTATATAATTTTGATAGAGATATATCTTTTTCTATATATATCTTTTTTGTCCTCAAGAGCTGATCACAAATCTCTCGGAGGACTGGGAACAAGTCGTTGGCTGGAAGCTCTTTGGGAACCAAGTACTGGTTTATTTGTTCTACCAGGTGGACTTGATATGTTAGATATAACCGGTAATGGAGATGCTCGACTTATTTGTGCAGACTTGGGACTACTTGGAAGTGATTCAACGAAGGTTTTATAGATATATTTTTTTTTAATATATAAATGAAACATATAATAAGCAAAAAAATTGCTTTATTTTATATATATATGTATAAAATTTGTTTTCAGATACGTGTGTATAAAGGAAGCGATCAAATAACTGAACATTCCATGATAGATCCGCCTTGCGGCATAGTTGGATTTTATATGGAGAACGGGGAATCTCGTTCGTCCGTAGTGGCCGTAGGAGCTGGAGCCAGTGTATATGTTTTCAAAAATATGAGGCCCTTCTTCAAGTACTGTCTGCCGCACATTGATCCGCATCCGAAAGAACGAGAGGTATAATATGTGTGTTTAAATAAAAGTAAAACTGTAGAGACATTTTTTTTAGATTATCAGTTTTAAGTGTAATATAATCTTTCTGTTGGCGTGGGTAATGAAAATAATAAGATTCGAATAACACACACTACGGAGAAACATAAATAATAATTTCATATACAGATTTGGCATAAATGTGGATTGGACGAGGAATTAAACGTGCTGACTCTTGCGGACGATTTGGAACTGTTGCTAAAAGAAATCGGCGCGGCATTTCTCTCACCTCGCACCCTAAAATTTTTGTCCATGGATAGTAATTTACGGTTGAGTTTTGCGGAACAATACAGAAGAGCGCCGCTCGTCAAAGCCAATGCCTTAACGGCAATTGCGACTATTCGAAAAGATTCGTGGAATAATATTGCGAGCAGTTGTCTTATATTAGGAACCGAAGCTGGTGAAATTCTCGTTCTAGATCCTAGGTATGTTGTGTGAGTTATAACAATAGAAAGAAACTATTTAAACTTAGAACGTGCACAAAAATTAGTAGCAAAAATTTATTTAACATATGGTTAGTACGAAAATTTAACGACGCAATTATCAAAATGATATTATATCGAGTTACTTTTTTGCGCGCGGAAAGAATTTTTAAAATATTTTTTATACGTGGTATAGTTTCTATAAATTTATTATTTAATAGTTGCCACGCAATAGAGCTTTTACAGTAATGGATAAGCATCAGTTGGAATGGGCGCCAGTGGCGTTTGCCAGTTGCGGTTTGTGGGCTGGCGACGGACGTATAATAATCATCGGAAGAGATGGAAAAATAGGAGCAATTAGGAGAGGAAGTCCGGTGAAACTCTGGGAATCGTTGTCTGCGCCAGCGGTGGCTATTTCCGTTCTTGCTTCCGATGGGGCAGCGGTAGCTGTTATGGATGGTACTTTAATAGGATTTTCAAACAGGGTACGAGCTTTGAATTAAATAAAGATGCGTTATATAATAAAAAAGATCCTCTGTTAATATGTAAATTTTTTTTCAGGGTATAAAATTATGGCACGTTAGTGTCCCTAGCATAATACTGGACTTAGTGAGTCTGCCTGTACCTCAAAACGGACTGTCCTTATTAGCCGTAAGCACGTTGGGTTACGGAGTTCGCATTTATGACGGAAAACATCACGTAGACACGATAAAGATTGCGGAACCCGTATCTGCTCTCAAGGTGTTTGTCACATACACCTAGAAAATATATTTATATATTTTACTCTCTTATGTATGTATAAAATATATAAAAATTTTATCAAATTCACAGTACGGTCGAATGGGACAAGAAGAACGAACGATAGCTTTGGTGACTGTTGGCGGTGGTTTGTGTATGAAGATTCTAAAGCGCACCGCCGATTTCAACGTGAACAACTCGACCACAAGTTCATTACCGTGCAACACGTCCAAGTTCTCGATACCGAAAAAAACACGATTGTTTGTTGATCAAACAATAAGAGAGAGAGCTGAGGCGAAGAAAATTCATAACACATTTCAGCAAGGTTTTCTTCGTTTGAGTTTGGCCACGGTCAAACAAGCGGTCGCACAAGCAAGCGAACATCAAACGTCAAATTTGGTTCCTATCACGTTAGAAGCGAATGTTCTCGGTTTGGGTCCGAATTATATGGTTCGCGTAATAGTGACAAATATATCCGAGACCTTATCTTGCTCAGAATTGTATATTCTATGCAGAGGTCAGGACGCTGACGTGAATCCATATACAATAGATTTGCCTCTGTTGCCAAGCGCCACACCGATATCTCTAACCATTAGCGTAAATTTAACAAGTCAAATATCGGGAAAACTAAAAATATTATTGTGCAAGAAATCGCGTCCAAAACCTTTGGCTGTAACGGCCGTATTATTGCCTACCGTTGAGACAGATTTCGAAATATAAAAAAAATTATGTAAATATATAATCTTTCTAATGTCTAAAATATATATATAATATATATAAAACTAGAAATTATGTACTTAAATATATTTTATTAATATATTATATTTTATTAATATATATATGTGTGTACAATCAATTGTAATAAGAATAATGAAACACACAAGATGTCATCGTGTACATAATTTTTATATTTTATGACACTTTTGGCGTATTTTATCACACATAAAATGCATAGAAAATTTTAAATGATTTTGTATCACTGTTACTGGAAGTTGCAAAAATTCCTATAAATGATCAAGTTGCAAAAATACAACATCAAACGTACTGTAAATAAGTACTGCGAGTAGTCTCTGCCATCACAATTTGAGTCTTCTTGAATATTAATAAAAAATCTAACAGACACACATTTCTTTTATACGCATTTTTTTATAGTTTAAAAAATAAATTAGCCCTTCAAACTTCAGAGACCATTCGAATTTATAGAGAATTATTACTTAAACCAAGATATAAAAATGAAATGTTTCACGTTTACTTTGTGCTTTGATATTATAGAATTTTATGTTTTTTTATCTTCCACGCTCCAATTTTGTACCTCAGCCAAATCAAGAGTAAGTCTCTACCCATCTGCAACCAACTCCAAAATGGGACTATCTTGGAACCTTCTATTTCCGTCCAATTTACTGATATCTCAGTTATAGGAATGTTAAGAGTTTGCGCAATATAAAGCATTTCTACATCGAAAGCCCAACGTTCAACATGCAATGCTTCGAATATTGTTCTTGCTGATTTTCTGGTTAAAAGTTTAAATCCACATTGGGTATCTCTAATGCCTCTTACACACAAGAGCCAGACCAAAAAATGAAATCCATGCATAAGAAATAAACGGAAATAAGATCTTTTTGCTATCTCTTCTTTTTCTAAATGTGCTCTCGATCCACATATCACTGCGTCACTTGAGGCTGTTTCATCAGGATTGTTTATATAATCAACTAAAACAAATAATTTATTATAACTTAATAATATTACTATTAGAATATAAATAAATATATATATCATTATAAATATTATTATAAGATTACAAACTTTTCCTTTAAAGTATAATAAAAATAACTTACATCCCAAAACATCTGTTAAACTTTTATCCAACTTTTTTAGATCATTAAATTTAGTAGCACCATCCGCATCTGCAAATAATAACGCGCTACCTCTTGCACTCAGCATACCCTTAAAGTACAAAGTTGCTATATATGTTATTTAAAAACTAGTTTTAAAGAAAAACTCAATTAGAATATAAAATAAAAGTTTTAGCAGATAGTAAAAAAAAAAAAAAAAACGCTAATTTAAAAATATAAAAGTAAACCAAAAGTAACATCGCATGTATTACTTGGAGTTTACACTAGAAAGTTTACTAACCAATCTCACAGCACCACCTTTTCCTCTGTTTTTAACAAGATTTAACACTCTTAAAGTAGTATATTTTGATGCATAAGACTGCGCTACTTCCACAGTCTTATCTGTGCTGCCATCGCTGATTACTATTACTTCATATGTAAATCCAGATTTTACATAGTTTTCCAAATATTCCAAACATTCATCCAACATTGACGGCACTATCAAACAAAATTATAACTATATATACAACATACAATATACATATCAATAATAAATATCCATATGTTTTACATGAATTCAATAACATATTTAATTTCTTGTAAATATATTACATCTAAGTTCTTCGTTGTATGCGGGAATAATGACGCTAAGGTTTACACTCCAATGATCGTGTATCGAAGGGAATAGTTCACTTCTCTTTGTTTGAAAATTAAAAAATGATTTTTCACTTTCATGTTTCCAGATTTTGGGATACCGCTCACTCGCCACGTATATTATCAAGCAGAGCTACAACAAAATATTGTTTTTTTATTTTCTTATCATTCCTTTGAGTGATATTTATTTTACAATTAATTATACGATTGCGTAAAGTATGTGTATTTTATGCATAAACTAAATTATTTCTTAAAAGTATGATAAACTGTACACGTGTAAAGAACAGAAGAAACAAGAAATTCATATTAAAATTAACCCGCACGAGTAACATACCACAATTGAAATAAATATAACAAGTAATACTCCATAACAAAACAAATATCCTAATGATAACATTTCGAAGTAGAAAAACACTTAACAATTGCGGAATATAAAAGTTAAGAATTATTCGCTACATATATATATATATATATATACACATTTGTATAAAAAAAAACATCAACAAAATAATATATCAAATGAGGTTATGCGTATCAAAGCGCCGCGTCGACGCTTTTTTAAATTTGATAAGAGCTCCCGTATCTGTAAACCAAAATATATAACAAGGTATAAAGCCTATGTCACACTACGAATTAGGATTGAGATTGGATTGCAATTTGGCCAATCAGAGCGAAGATCACTAAACTTGGGATTGGGTTTTCTTTCTTCTGATTGGTCAAATTTCAATCCAATCTCAATCCCAATCCGTAGTGTGACATACGCTATAGCCAATCAAGATAGGGTGCGTTCAGACAACTCAACAGTTGCACAACGGTTGAGAGATAATCACTTCTGATTGGATCATACTTTTGGAACCTCAGCAGATTTTGAAGAATAGTCCTATCATAAGTGATGATCTCTCAACCGTTGAGTTGTCTGAACGCATCCATTGATTAGCCGTTTACAACTTGTAGAAATGAGACAGAACATAGTATGTCTGCACTCTTCCACGAGCCAACCAGCCGAGCGCACACGAACAGCGGTTCTTGCTTGTCCTTGGGCGTATCCCCGTCAACTCAGTGCTTTCGCTGCTGGATCTCCGCGTCACTGCGTTACAACGATTTTCGCTCTAATAAAATATAAACTCAAATATCGGTATCGAGCCCAATACAATCTCAAATGGGAGAACCGGCTAAAGGACAACCTTCTCAACAATCATTTCAAGGCCAAATGCCCACTGCTAGTGCTTATTGTAGTAAGTACGAGAGAACTGTGGCTGCTTTTCTTTTAGGAGACACAGTCGACACAAGGCGACACAAAAGTCATTCTGTCTTCGTTCAGTATTCAGTGAGAAACAAAGACAGAATGACTCTTGTGTCGACTTGTGTCGACTGTGTCTCCTAAAAGGAAAGCAGCCTATATCGTTCTCGCTTTATTTGTTGCTCTTGGAACAGAACTCGAACAGAAAGTGATTAACAAGTTTTTGTTTTTTATTTTCTTTTTGTTTTGCTACAACATTACTTGTATAAAAATGTATTTGACTAATGAAAAAACTTTTTGATATTTAGCCAATAGACCGGAACACCTTAAAGGTATTCAGAAGCACTTAGTGTATATGTTGCATGCGCATAAATGCAAAACCAAACTTAGGACTGACGAGCATAGACAATGTGGCTTATCAAATTGCTTAATGATTAGAAATTTGTTAACTCACATGACGATGTGTCAACTTGGCAACAACTGCACAGTGCCTAATTGCAAAATATCGAGACAGATTATTAATCATTGGAGACACTGTATTAACAATAACTGTGTGATTTGCGAACCAATAAGACAGGGAGCTAGACAAGCCAATCCACAAAGTAATTTATATAAAGATATTTTTACATGGATATATAATATTCATTTCTTTCTTAATTTATCTGGTATATTTCTTATTATCAGATCCTCACACACATTTCAAACAGAATGAGTTTGAATCTAGTCTGATAGATGTACAGAATATATTGGAAAACTTGCAGCTTTCAAGTGACCTTCAACATAGTCAAGTCACAGCAACACCCATGCAAGGAACACAGTAATAACATCAGTCTGTCACTCCAGATCTCAGGGAATCATCTAGTTCATAAATTGTGAGTTTTTTTCATATGATGACACAATACATTAAAAATTTTTGTTCTAATAACAACGTCGTTATTAATGTCATTTTTCTCAAGGTCTAAGCAATGTTCCTCACTCCGGATCCACAAACTATGCTCGACAAAAGAATTGTGCAACTTTGTTACGTACGCAAGAAAGATGGAGAGCGAATTGTACGGATGGCTAATTTGCGATGGGAATATGATCATCTTTTGACCGAAAAGATCTATATAATATAAAAGGAAATACTTTAAACACTTTAAAAACATGTTTTTTACTTATATGTAATTTTTACAATCTTACAATTTTTATTTCTTATTCTTTTTTCTTCTTTTTTATCGTTTTCTAATGTGAAATACGCATGTTAAAGTTTATTAATTCTCATAAATAACATACCGTTTTTTTATTTTATTTTATTTTTCTTATATTATTGCTTACATGTGATTTCTTTTGATTATAACAATTAAAACTGAGATTCATCTTGGGCTCTGTGTGAAGTCTTTAAACCAATAAATGAATTCTTTTGATTATGTTGTATTTTATTTATTATTATTTTGAGTTTTAGTTTTATTTTATGCTTTAATCTGTATGATTTGGAAGCATAGTGTTATAGTAATTTCTTTATTAGACGAAAAACGCCAGAAACGGAAAGAACAGCAATTTACAAGTTCAACAGCAATAGCCGCAACCGACAGACGCATCCCGGATTGAGGCCACGCACACCTCCTAATGTCGGAGCCGTTATTTCAGGAACATCAAAACCAGTTGGAGCAGTACCGCCTGCACTCTCCGAAGTCATTCACCGATCATAAATCAACTAGGGACAATACCTGCAATGGCCATCCAACAACGTAACAGAATGCAGTTCCCTCAACAACAACAACAAGCTCAACAACAATAAATTCAAGCTCAACAGCAGATACAGCAGCAACACCAACAGCAACAACAGGGAATTCCTGGTTGGTCCTCCCGATCTCAGTCTGAATGGACAATTCACGTCGAATGTCAATATGGGGCCAAATCTTGTACTCAACTCCTCTCGGACAACCTCAGATGTCTCAAGCTAATCATAAAGGTTTATGAATAAAAAATGTCATAAATATTATATAAACATTATTTTATAATAACAAGAAATATATAAGGCCTTACGAGCCATTCGCAGGATGTTTGAGCGGAAACTGTGCGTGTATATATATGTATACACATGTAACGAATTCAACTTGTAAATTTTTACAAGTGAGTATTTTTAGATATGAAATCTCAATTCTCAAATTCATTACGGGATGCTGGATTTGCATCTCACATATGAGAGACCCCGGATACCCCCTTAACTAATTTTAAAATATTGCGAAAAAACATCCTGCGAATGGCTCGGAAGGCCTTATATATTTCTTGTTATTAATTTCAACGAGCCTTAAGTCATAATTATTTTATAAACGTGTCATAATATAATATATTAAAATATAATAAAATATATACATATATATATTATATAAAAATATATGATGAAATATATACATATATATTATATAAAAATATATAATGAAACATATATATATATATATTGTGTAAAAATATATAATAAAATATATCTCTACAAAACTGGATATCTTTTATTATTTCTTGCAAGTGATTCTTGGAAAATTTTAAGATTGCGTTTGATTTATTGTATATAAAACACAGACAAAAATTTCACAACACGCGAAGAAATTCTAGCGACTTGTATTCAAGAAACAATCGAAGGTAGATGCGAAATAATCTCTGTGACACATACTCCGAAACTTAGTTTAATTCTTATTTTATTAATAATTGACGCATTTTTACAAAGATATAACTTGATAAAATTAATGAATTGCGATAATGCGAACTATGTGACGCAAAGCATTAAAATGGATCGATACGTGTGATAGCAGGGTTGGGTTCACGTATTATACATGAGATATTGTACATTGTATTTTATCAAAACAAAATGTTTGTATAATAACAATTATACAAACATCAATATATACGGTATAATACATGCCCAACTTTGATGCTCACATAATCTAATGCGGCTAACAATTATGCAACTAAACAACAACTATACAAATTTATAAACTGTATAGTTGTTGTTTAGTTGTATAATTGTTATTGTACAAACATTTGTTTTGATAAAATACAATGTACAATATCTCATGTATAATACGTGAACCCCCAACCCTGCGTGTGAGTTGGTTTACGAAGAAAACGAGTTGCACGCTCGAAATATAAATCCAAGAGGTACGGCAGTAGCTCCTCGCGCCAAGTATATTGCGCAAACGAAGTGCGCGCGCGCGCGCGCGCTGCGCAAGTACCCCCGTGTGCCTCTTATGGCTAGTCTACAATGAAGGTAGCAAGGTGGGGAGTAGAGAGTAAACTATTTTTCGGTAAAGAAACACAACGGGAATTACGAAATGGGCAATTCCCATTTCGCACCGCCTACTGCCTTAATGTTAGCCAATGAAAGACGTGTGTAAAAAAACGCGAGAAATAATTACTTGTATGGATAAAAATAAAAGAACTCCAAGAACCTTACTTCTTACTCCTGCACTGCCTGTTCCCATTGTAGACTAGCCATAACAGGCGAATTCGGTAGCCTGCACTTCGGTGCGCACTGAGTGCAACTTTTTTTTTTATTGAAAAAGTTTTTATTAAAAACAGTTTTGAAGTTTCATTAAAGTGTTTCATTGAAAAAAAAAAGCGCGTTGGAGCGAATGTTGGAGCATGTTGGGACGTGCGACGCGAACAAACCTAAATAATGTAAATGTGACATACCGAATGAGACAAGTTAATTAACGGAACGTCGCTGAGTAGAACATATGGATGGATTTTCTTAAATATTCTGTCAATCCTGTAAAGAAGAATCAAAACCGAACTGCGTCATGCTGTGAGGATTTTTTAACGCGATCCAATGTTTCACAGCTGTCACAATCTGAGACAGAGTTACTATTTAAAAGTGACGCGAGACGATAAGCAAGTTCTCTCTTTGTATCTCATTTGTATGTTGGATATTCAATTAGTCAATTGATTCTAATTTTTTCAAGAGTTGTCGAAATTGTTGTTTGAGACAAAAAAATGATACACAGTCTCTTCATTATAAATTCTTCGGGGTGAGTGGCAAGAAAAGAAAAACAATTTTTTATCAGACACATTATCGCCGGATCATAGATTGTAATTTATATTATATTATATATAATAATATATATTATATATATATTATACATATATATATATATATATATATATAT